TCTCTGAGCTGCTACACCCTATAGACCCACCCGTTCTCTCAGGTCAGCCGATCAGCTGCTCCTAAGCGTGCCCAAAACAAAGCGCAAGCTCAAAGGAGACCGAGCTTTTGTAGCAGCTCCTAAACTGTGGAACGATCTACCTCTGCACATTAGACAGGCATCTTCACTGTCTGTTTTAAGTCTCTTCTTAAAACCCACCTCTTTTCCTTGGCCTTTGATAACTGAAATTGACATTTCTTGTTTTGGTTGTATTGATTTTATTGTATGGTTGTTATTGTTTTTATTTGTATTTTATGCGTCGTGTGAGCTTTGTATTTAGTGTCTTATGTTTTCATTTATTGTTTTACTGTCCAGGAGATAGCAGAGAGAAACTCCTGGTTCCACCTGTAGGGTGTCAAAGCAGCCCTCTGCTAATCTCCTGCTAAATAAGCTGCCTGTTTGGTACTTAGCCTTTAGCCCTTTTGCACCCATGTACGTTTCTGAGTTGTGTTTCCCAGATGTAATTTTATTTACTTGATTCAAACTCTGTGTTCTCTGTTTTGTATCTATTTAATTCTATTCTATTTAATTGTACCCACAGCCTTTGTCCAGAGCTCATGATCAAACATAATCTTGTATTCAACATTATTTATTATATCATTTACATTATACATTTACATTTACTCATTTGGCTTAACCTTTTATCCAAAGCGACTTACATTTGAGGAACAACATACAAGCATCTACAGAGCATCAAATACAGCACGAGCTCTACAACTGACAATACATATTTGTAAGAGCACTAATAAATACTAGAATGAGCTAATAGCACATATCGCATCAATGGTGTAAATACCTACGGAAAGAAGTAAGAGTTAACAAAAAGTGCAATCAATACAAGATCATTGTAGGGGATAGAAGAAGAGCACAGGAGTGCATGTTAGAGGTTAGGAGTTAGAGGTGTTCTCAGAAGAGATGAGTTTTCAAGAGCTTCTTGAAGTTAGAGAGGGACGCCCCTGCTCTGATGGCGTGTGGTAGCTCGTTCCACCATCGTGGTGTCACAGACACTGGGATTGCTTTGTGTGAAGGGATGGCAGAGCCAGGCGGCGTTCGTTGGAGGAAGGAACGTTGACTTGTATTATGGAGTTTAGGTAGATGGGTGCATACCCAGTAGTAGCTCTGTATGCAAGCATTAGTGACTTGAATTGGGAGGCCATGGGTAGCCAGTGGAGGTCACTCATTAATGGAGTGACATGAGTCCTTTTGGGCTTTCTGAACCATTTGTAGGGGTTTCCCAGCACAAGCTGTAAGACCTACTAGAATGGCATTGCAGTGGACAAGGCGAGAGATAACCATGGCCTGTACCAGAAACTGGGTGGCGTACTGAGTGAGGTAGGGTGATTTCCTTATGTTGTATAGAGCAAAACGGCACGACCGGGAGACAGCAGCAACATGGTCTGAAAAGGACAGCTGGTCAATCATGACACCCAAGTTTTCATCACCCTGGTTGGAGTGAGGGTTGAGGAGTCAGTTGTAGTTGATGTGGTAGTGGATAGATTGCGTTGCTGGAATGACCCAGAGTTCACTCTTAGAGAGGTTTAGTTGAAGGTGGCAAGCCTTGCAGTGGGAATAAGATAATTGTCCTTGAAAGGCAGGATTCCAACCACAGGAGTGCTTTGCCCGAGATGCGCATTGCTGCGAGTGCGGATAGCAGGCTGTGTCAAAGGCAGCTGATAGGTCAAGCAGGATAAGGACCGAGGATTGGGCTGCAGCTTTAGCTGACCTTAGAGCTTCTGTTACAGACAAAAGAGCCGTTTCAGTAGAGTGGGCACTCTTAAAACCAGACTGATATGGATCTAGGAGGTCATTCCGTGAGAGGAATTCTGAGACCTGTTGAAGACTGCCCGTTCGATAGCTTTGGATAAAAATGGTAGAAGTGAAACTGGCCGATAGTCTCAACTTAAGTAGGGTCGAGGGAAGGCTTTTTGAGAAAGGTTTAACCTGAGCCCTTTTGAAAGGTCGGGAAGGTTCCCGATGCCAGAGAAGTATTTATCACATGAGTGATTGCAGGGACCCGTTAGGAGATATGGCTTGGACGAGATTTGTAGGAATCGGGTCCAGGGGCATGTAGTAGGACGGCTACGGGTCAGGAGTTCTGATACTTCGCTCTCCGTGAGAGGAGTAAACGAGGAGAGGGAAGTGCCATGGACAGAGAAACAGATGTTGTAGGACTGCTACATGTCAACAGAATTACTCAAAAGTGGTCTTAACTAAACTGAGGTCAACATAAATACTACAACATGAGTCTGAAACATAACAAACTGACCTATGAATGACACAAAAGGAGGGGTATATATACACACAGGCTAGCTACACCAAACACAAAGGGGAGAAAACTTACCACAATTAAAAAGACCCAAAATAAACCCAACAACCAACCATAAGAAAATACTAACAAAACAACATATTGAAACCCAATATTAATCTAACAAACAAAATATCCACATGCTTGCTGTGTTGT